ACAAGACAGTAAGGCTGATAAGTTTGATGCACCCGAAATATCACAAAAGGATATCAATTAACACAAAAGGGAAAACGAACAAGAACACAACTGCAGGCAGAAGCACCTATGACTAACACAATACACAAGCTTATTGAAGTTACTCACGCGGGGAATTGGAAACTGCCGGGAATATTCATGGCAAATACCGGTAGCAAGGTGAAGTAGACTTGGTAGAGCGGTGGGCGTGGGTTGACTGCGCTTGGATATCTTTGAACTTTGAAGCCCACATGCACTTGGAGTGCCCTTATAACAAATACTGGGTTCTACAAGAAACTGGGCTTAGAGATAAGGTATACGGTGTTGTGCGGTGTTCAACAACAATAACACAACAATACCGACCACTTGCCATTTGTACAGATCCACGAAATCGAGACTTAATAAAGGACAAAATATACATGATCATTGAAGCGTTGAACTATGGACCCATTGCCCAAATGAATTATATCGGTTTCTCCATTGCGTTAATTTCGTGTCTATTTTTAAATTTAATTAATGATTCAATGAAGTACCATTAGATAATGGAAATATGCGCATATCTGAATTTTTCCTTACCCTGGTCATCGGCCTACATAGAGAGAAGCAGTGCTAAGCTTTCCATCTTTCCTTTGTGGTTTTTCAAGGCATAAGATAACCTTGGAAAGAGTTTGTCCTTGCACTTTATGGAATGTAATTCCAAATCCCAATTCATGGCTGGACGTAAATAATTTGATTTGTCCATTCTTCCTTGAGAATACACGATCTTTTGGACCGATTGTTACATCATTTTGTCCTCTTCCGGAAATTGGTACAATGGGAGCTCCTTCTGTTCTTGCACAAGGCGCGTCCATGGGCCAACGATTCATTGTTTCTGGAGTCGACGGGATGTCTGTCCTGACGTTTCCTGTGACCGGCGCTGACTCTGCCGATCACGGGCGATCTGGACTCGACGAGATGTCTGTCCTGACGTTTCCTGTGACCGGCGCTGAGTCTGCCGATCACGGGCGATCTGGACTCGACGGGATGTCTCTCCTGACGTTTCCTGTGAACGGCGCTGACTTTGCCGATCACGGGCGATCTGGACTCGACGGGATGTCTGTCCTGACGTTTCCTGTGAGCGGCGCTGACTCTGCCGATCACGGGCGTTCTGGAGTCGACGGGATCTCTCTTCCGACGTTTCCTGTGACCGACGCTGAATCGCCCGTTCACGGGCGTTCTGGAGTAGACAGGATCTCTCTTCCGACGTTTCCTGTGACCGGCGCTGAATCGCCCGTTCACGCTTATTTTGGAGACGACGGGATCTCTCTTCCAAGGTATGTTTTTGCTGACGCATCCTATCACCTATTCGGTGTCTATTCTAATTTAATTTCCTCCTCGTCTCCCTATTTCTTTAAGTATGTTTTTGCTGACGCATCACCTATTCGGCGCGGCGGCTATTCTAATTTAATTTCCTCCCCGTCTCCCCATTTCTTTCCAAATCTCTCTCTACATCAGGGAGTCGTATACATAATACGACGAATATAGGTACGGTACGGGACAGATACGAGAGCCAGCAGCTGTTATGTACAGTCCTGTAGAGCCGTACAGGTACGGGACAGATTTATGTACAGTCCTGTAGAGCCTTTGTAGTCGACTGGTCACAGGTACGGGACAGCTACGGGACAGATACGGGATAGTTGCAGGCGTGACACAAACAAACAAACACCAAGTTAAAGCTGTGTGGACCCTGGCTAGCGCCAGACGTCACTGAAGTAACGTCTTCTGCATACTAGTAGCTACGGGAATAATGTCCTAGTGTTCATTAGGACTGGTGCGGATTGCGCAGACGCATTGTACTATAATACTAGCGCATTGAAGAATTGGAAGAATGATGCAAAAGTAATGGCATCTCCTTGAATTCTGGCATTCTGCTCAATTTCTTTATGCACATGCCAAACATGCATGCGCATGTATACGGGTAATACCAAAGTCCCCAGTTTTGAAAATTTTTCCTGCCGCTAGGCATTGGCGGATAATGCTCGAAAAGGTGGCAGATTCTGCTCGAAAAGAAGTGAAATTGGCAGAACCATACAAACCTTATGGCGGGCAATTCCTCGAATCCTGCTCCATTTCTTTATCCACATACCAGGCATACATGTACATGCATGAAGCGTACCAGAAAAAGTACCGAATTCTGCCAATTTCTTCTGCCGGCATTATCCGCACACCCGGTATGCCTACTAGTATGAGGTGAATTGCTATTTCTGGACATTGTACATTTCTGGACATTTCGAGTAAAATAATTTTTCGTCGCGTGTAGAGTCAAGTCAGTCAGGTTGATGAAGTTTTTTCTTGTTGTAGTTGACAGCTGGGCTGTTGTAATTTCTCCTCGTGTCGGTGCCTTGTTGATAGCCTTTTCTTGGGAGGCATTTCAACGAGGTTTGTGGTACTATGTCGCATGAGAATTTTGAATTTTGAGTAAAATAAGAAGTAATGGACGAATTGTTGGCTTCCCCATGTGCGCTTCACTTCAGACGCTGTATAGTCTTGGACCTGTTAGCTGGAAGTGTGAAGAGGCCAACTGCAGTCCACAAATAGAAAATATAACAAAAATGGTGCAGTATAGGATGCCTATTGACGCTATTTTACTTTCATGTCCAGAATTCGATACACTGAAATTTAGGCCAAAAAATTGGCCTGTCGAAAACATCCTGCTATAAAGTCTCTGGGATCACAGCATGAGCAATTGTCACATATTTGGAAAGATGAAGGATTAGGCCATACAATAGATACAAAAAGATATGAAAAATGTAAAACACACAGCCAGTGGGCCTCTATTTTATTTTCATGTCCAGAAATTGGAATTCACCTCGTACTACCATTAATTTTTTAGTAGTACAGTCAAACCTCGTTAGGACGAACACTGATAAGGCGAACTTTCCATTAGTACGAACTAAGGCCAATCCTATGGTTGGCCAGGCATCAATTCAAGTCAAAATTATTCGTTTATGACGAACCTCTGTACAGCGAACTTTCGCGAAGACGAACTATTTTCAAGTGTGATTTGAACAAAGTCAGTGTGGTCATGTACATGTAGTACGAACTTTCGGTCCACGAGCGTGCGCGTACGCTGGCTGCCTTTTTTCTTTTTCTTTTTTTCAATAGTCGAGGTCATATTGTACGTACAGTGCAAATTGTTTTCAAGCGTGTTTTGAACAAATCAATCAGTGCGTTGTACGAACTTTCGACACAGTCGTGATTCATTGCACTTTGTCATTGTACTTACCTGTTTCTGGCTTATGCTAAGAATAACATGCTTCCCATGTACCACAGCATGCACCTTCACGTAAATACAATCCATCTGATATGTATATCGATTTTTTGTCAGATCTGGATAAGAAGAACTCCCGATAAGACAAACAAATTTGTTCAGTCCCTTGAAGTTCGTCCTAACAAGGTTTGACTGTACATGTATACATGTATGTACCAATAGGGCTTGAAAGTGATGACGTCAAAAACGGCCAGGGAGTAGTAAGTTGACATCAGATTTCTATTTTGGATCCACTAAGGTGTGACTTTGCTATTGCCTCAGTATGTGGGTGCATAGCAACCCACTCATGTTGTATGCAGGGGTGACTTTTACTTCGCCACCAGTTGTAACCCCGCCCCCAGTAGGCTGGCAGTAGCCAAATCAGTCAGTTTCACTGGCTACATGTACATCACCTTGCTGTGAGTAAGACGGCTTGAAATGTGCTTGGATCCATACAAAAACTGGATCCAAGTGGATCCAGTTTTTGAATTTTTGAAATAATTATTGCTATGCTGTGACGTAGCACTTTCAAGCCCTATGATTGTCATCATGGTCATAGCCTCGAGCCTCATACTTCGTAGACCCAGGTGCTCGAAGTCCGTACACTTTTACAGTGTGTGTTTGCCGAGCTGAAACTCACCGTGACTAGCAATGATCACTTGCCAGAATCCTGCTCGTGGATGGAAGGTATCTTGTCCAAGTTTGTTCTGAGGCCAGGCTCGATTGAACCAGGCCATCTTTCGATCCGATCTGTTTCTCTGGAGTTCGCTGATTTTTCATATCAAATTTTGTTGTCGCAGAGGGTACTCTAAGTCCGTACTGATCAGAGGTGACTCGAAATACACACATATTTCTGCTAATTGCTAACTTGCAATCCCTCGGTTACGACGAAAGCACCGAAGGGATATGTTTGGCATGTGCCTCCACCAGTATTTCTTGCAAAAGCGTAGTTTGTTGCCGAAATGCAAGCTGTTTTTAGTCGGCTCAGAGAAGAAGCAGCTGCGCTGTGAAAACCGCGGGAAAACAATGGTGGAGATGCCAGGAGTGTCAACCTTTCTGCAAGGATTGGTGGTTCTCTGTAAATTCTTCTCCTCTGGCCATTGTCAGCTCTAAGCTGGCTCTTGATGATTGAGTGAAGGTCTGTTTGACGCTGTGTCCGTTCGAAATCGGTCTTGGCAAAGTTGATTTTTGCATGAAATGTAACCCAATTTGTATTTCGTATGGACACTCGAAAACCCACTCGCGTGGTATGGGACTTCTGCTTATCGTAGATCCCTGAAAATTGCTACGCGAGGAGAACATACCACACTGTCCCCTCCATAAAATATTTGAGTCGAATACAATAACAGAACATGAAATTATGGGCGTACGAACTTAGGATACCATGTACGGACTTCGAGCACCTGGGTCTACTCATACTCATACTCAGTCATACTCATAAGTCATAGCATCATACTTCATAGCAATATTCATCCTCATAGGCCACAGCATGATGCAGGCTGAACTTGCAAACTAGTAATAGTTACTTACACAGTAGATCTACAGTTCACGTGGCACGTGCACGTGATCAATGATATTTTAAAAATCGTACCAGTACTACTACGAGTACTACAGTACTACCACACATACATGTACAGTACTTGTATACTAGTACGTATGTACAAAGACATTTTCAGTTTTTTTAGGACGAGAATCATAATGAGTTTTCTGTTTTAGATTGACTGGAGCGAGCGGCTGATTGAGATACTCCTGAGGCAGTTATTCGCGCAGTAAGAACGAGATACACAGCAGCTAGTGTGAATACAATGTCAATGGCTGCTATTGTCCAGCCGCCCAGAGGCGCAACCCTACATGGGGCTGCAAGCTGAGCACTTCCTATTCTGTAACATTTAGCGAAAATAATAATTGATTGGCTCGAAATGCACTTTAGTCGCATACAATAGCTGCTATAGCATTGAAATATTCGGGTTACTGGATTGTTGCAGAGAGGGAGAGAGAGAGAGAGAGAGAGAATGACGGTGACTACTTTCACATCGTATACGACTTCAGTGAGTTGAGATTGTCGACAGGCCACTGACTGGCAGCATGCTGGCGAGAACGTCCCGACGAGTGCCTTGGAATCTCTCTGGCACGAGACGTGGCGATGTCTTCAGTCAAAGTACAGGTGCGATTGCGTGTTCGCATGGCCTGTTCCCAGGTGCTGGGCAGTTGCATAGGTCATCATTGGCAAGCTATTCGCTCCATGCGAAGGTATCCAGAGCAAGCGTGTCTGTGACAGGATCGCTGAAGAATGCTGCGTTGCGAGCAACAAGAACACCAGCAGCTCTGGTTTGTGTACAGTCCGCACGCTTACCCATGACATTCAGAACACTTTGTTCTAGTTTATTGCACGTGCCTCTCTCGCTGATTCCAATCAGTCCGGCCGTGGCCGAAGTGCGTGCGATTCTGTCGCAGGACCCGCTGCCAGAGCACGACGGCTTGCTGCGTATGGTGACGGGACTAGAGACGACGGCGCAGCGCCTGGCGGCCATACTGGCAGTGCAGCAGAACCATTCCATGGGCGACGTGCAGCGCACGGAGATCATGGACTCTGCGCTGTGGTGCTGCGTGATGGATGGCGACGGGGATTTCGAGTGGCACTTCGCCAGCATGCTGGTACGCACTGCTCGCTTGCTGCCGCACATCTCCCGGCTGTCGTCGCTGGTGCCATTCGTGGCCCTGTGCGTTCGCAATCTTCACGACGAATCACCAGTGGAAGATCTCACCACCGTACTCAGACTGCTGTCGAGCTGCAAGAGTAGCAGCCTGTCGCTGGCACTGGAGTTGAGCAAGAAGCGTGCCTTGCTCCTGCAGCTAATCCCCAAGCTGATGATCATCGACTGCCTTATCCTAATCAAGCATTACCCCGGACCGCGTGACATGCTCCTGCTGAAGAAGTGTCACGTGTTTGCTGGCGACGTTCTTCTGCCGCCGGCAGATGGTGTGTTTCAGGCGAGCTTCATGGACGCCAACCCTGAGATTCGAGCTGCCTGCTTGGACCGCATGTCGTTCTGGTTGTCTCGTGCGAATGCACTGCCCGACGGTGATGTGATTCGCTTCGCGGGACGTATCGTCATGTGTCGCAGTCGCCATGAACAATTCGTCAAGGAGGTCTTGCGGCTTGGCAGCGATGGATTCTACACCGGCTTGCGAATCTCCCTGGTTCAGCTGATGTACATGGCAAACATGTGTGCCACTTACAGCATCGAGGCGCCCAGCGTTGTGTCTGCCGTAGGTCGGCCCGAGTTCACGCTGCCGCCGGGAGAAGGCCTCGACACGGCTATCCTGTTGAACTGGTCGCTCATGGTGCTGAACGATACACCGCCAGCCAGTTGTCTGATGGTGCTGCTCAATCGGCTGGAGCACCAGTGTCAGAAGAGCGGCATGCGCTCCATTCACACACCGCACTGGCTCAAGCTGTATCAACTGCTGCCCGTGATGGAGCGGCACTTTGACGCGAACGCCGAATCCATCGCCCAGGATAAGCGGGTGTTTTGGAAAGGCTTCTGCGACTGGATCTGCCAACATCTCGTTCTACTCCACAGTAGAGCCCTAGCTGGAATGTTCATGGATGACCGCTTGCTAGAGACAGGGTTCGTTCCGCCCTCCACCACGCCATTTCTAGCTGGCTGCCACCCTGTGAGTTTCTGCCTGGCGGTCACCGCACGGGGCAAATGGCACTCGATCCCGTTCGCCGAGACAAACCGTAACCTGGAATCGCTGTCGATGTGTCCTTTGCACACTCCGGACACAACTGATTCGGACGGGGTGGCACAGCACACGAGGAAAACCCTGCACCATGCTGTCTGTTCCGGTATTGAAGCTGACTATGACGTCCGCTTCCGGGTCCGGAATGTCGTTGCCATGCTGGTGGTGGATGAGCGTAATATCGGCGACAACGGCGACCTCTTTGGGCCGGCGAGTGTCCAGAAAGCCCGTCTGGAGAGCAGCGGTTTTGTGGTGACCGCCGTACGTCAGGACTACCTTGAGAGGTCAGTGCGAGAGAACGGATCCCGTCAAGCTCTCTCTGAATGCTTTGATGTTATGTGTGAAACCGGGGCAGTGGCTTAGCAGTCGTATTGAGTATACAGCCTACTGAACATTGATGTTTCTATTGTATTTTCAGCTTTGGATTCTATCTATTTTATTGCAGTACTAGTATTAGTACATTGCTCAAATGACAACTTGGCTCCTTGACCGATTTGCAAAAAAGTACCGGGACAAACGAAATACACGTGTGCATTGATTTATGTTACTGTCAAGTATTTTTTTGTCTATCCTGGTCATTTCCTGGATCAGTGGATATTGTTCTAACACCTTCACAATATCGGCAATTAACCAATCATCTAGTCTTACAGGCAACTTATTACAGAGGTTAAGATGCACGTTATCTCCGACGTGACACACAATTTCACGTCAAATTTGGCATCACAAAAAAAACTCCAAATTTCGACGTGAACTGCAGGTCACTCGCGTTGTTTTTCGACATGCGAGCCTAATAAGTAAAAAAGCGCGAGTTGAACTTTCACGTCACGTCGAAAAATAACGTGGGTCTCAACTAGGGCTCAAACGGTCACGGTTTTACCCCTGACGGTTAACTGCTGAGCTAACGGTCGGTTAACCGGTTATAACCTATAAGCCACGGCAATCCTGCGGACTCTTTTTTAACCGTATATTTGACTAAACTCATTCAAAAAATGTACCCTATTCAGTACAACGCACACTTGTACATTCTCTTGCATGCTCATTCATACATACTCTCACGCCAAGAGACCAGATATGACCGAGTTGACAGCCCAGAAATTGCGTACGCGTGCGACAGCCCGCGAAAGTGCACACTTTGCAACTGTTGTGTATCGGTAGAAAGACTTTTCAAGGCTCATTTTGTTGTGGTCCTTTCGTTTATTTTGGTTTGTTTTGCGTTCTGCTTTGACTGGGTTTGGTTGCATGTATAGTTTGTACATGATCCAAGTAACGGTTACGTCATTGTCATAATTATGTTGTGTTTTGTTGCGCGCATGCTCGTATGCTGCCATAAATGTTAGTCTTTTTCTTCAGTTTTTCCCCAGCCACTTCCAACGGAACCAGACGGGGAATTGCCCGGAGCATGGTGCTGTTACCAATCTTCACCCGTGCTACTCGGCTCTTGCCATCTCGACCAGCGAACAGCTCTATCACTCTACCGAGGCGCCAAAGGTGCCGCTTCTTCTTGTCGTCAACAACCAGGACAACCTCGCCAGCCTTGATCGGACGGGCCTGGGCGGACTGGTAGCTGCTGAGGCCGACCAAGTACTGTTCCCGCCACCGCTTCCTCAGGTGCTCCTTGACATTGATGATGTAACTGAACCGGGCCGACAATTGTGCAGCTGTAAGGCCGTCTTCTACCTCGGGGGCCCCTGGTGCAAAGACATCTCCCATCATCATGGCCGGGGTCAAGGCCATGTCATCACCGATGTCCGTTGATACGGACGTAAGCGGGCGCGAATTCACCACTGCCTCGATCTCCGCCAGGACTGTGGCCAGCTCCTCAGGTTTCAGAAGCGCTTTGCCCAACACCTTCTTCAGAGGTGTCTTCACGCAAGCGACCAGGCGCTCATAAAACCCGCCAAACCAGGGTGCTGCAGGTGGGTTGAAGCTCCACACTACCTCTATCTTCTCCGCGGCAGCCTTGAACGTCGTAGCGTTGTCCGAACGAATTCTGCAAGGCTTCCCACGCCGCGCGACGAATCTGCGATAGACAAGAAGGAACGCTTCTGTTGACAGACTATCCACCATGTCCAGATGAACTGCTCTAGTGGTACCACATACAAAGAGCACGACCCATCGCTTTGCGGACCGCTCTCCCGTTTGGACGTAAAGAGGACCGGCGTAGTCTATGCTTGTAAGGCCGAACGGCTGTTGATGTTCAACACGGTCTGCTGGTAAGGGCGCCACCACCTCGGCTGCTGCTTTGGCCTTGAACCAACGGCAAGCAAAGCATCTCTCGGTAACACTTCTCAGCAGGCGACGCCCAGACAGAATCCAAAACTTGCGTTGAAGAAAGGCAAGGACGCTCTCGACACCTTGGTGCAATCGTTGCTTATGCACCATCTCCAGCAAGAGCTCGGTCAGATGATGTTTCGTTAGGATGATAGGGTGCTTAGCGTCATATCCTAGCTCACTTTCCTGCAGCCTGCCGCCGACCCGCAGCAACCCAGCGTCATCGAGGAAGGGTGACAACTTGTACAAGCGAGAACTAGGAGGCAAGGAGTTGCCTTCTTTCAGCATAGCGATTTCCTCCGCGAAACACTCTTGTTGGATGGACCGGTACAAGAAAGCTTCTGCTTTAGGGAACAGCTCAGCGCGGATTGCCGGCTCCTTCCACTGGAGCATCCGCACGACAACTCCACAAGCCCGTTGCCACTTCGAAAGATTCTCCCATGGCCAAACAACTGACTGCCTGACTGTATTCACTGCCGCTACGCGTGCTTCAATGACGGACTCTTGCGTGCTGTGAGACGAAATCGACTGTGGCCACTCAGACTCCTCGCTTAACGAAGGCGGGCGATGCAACCATATCACCGTCTGAAGGCCGCTCACCGGAACACCGCGGGACACAAGATCTGCTGGGTTGCTCACACCGGGACAGTGACGCCATTCTACGTGCAACTTCCGCGACTGGCACGTTTTGCTGATGACAGCGCTTTGAGTGGTTTTTGTTCCTTGGTTGTTTTCTTTGGTGTTTTTCGTTGTTCTCTCAGAGTCGCAATAGCTCTCTTACCCGTATACCCGTTATGCATTCTATTCTATCATTACTGTAATGTTTATCTATCTAAACTCGTAATGCCCGTGGTGGTTGAGACTGAGAGTGCTTGTGTGCGGTACGCCTGGAAGTCTTGAGTGAGGTATCGTTGAGATACAACGCATACACAAAAGCAACGACCTGATACTTGAAAAGTTGACTGAAAAGTTACTGCGTAACCGTTATCTTTATCGGTTAACCGCTAATTCTTCGTAACCGGTCTGCAACCGGTTAATTGGACTAATCGTTTGAGCCCTAGTCTTAACCTCTCCGTTTCCATGCGGTGTTCCTGTACTCGGGGATCAGCTGCAGGCTAGCTGGTGTATGTGCGACTGCTGACGCCGCTCTACAGATACGCCCGGATTATCGTATTATTGTTCCGATGTACTGCCTGTTAATGGTGTGTGTGTGGTGCCTGTGTAATAGGTGTATTTATACAAAGACGTGCATACTCACTATTCGTATTTCCCGCTCGTTCCCCTTGGCAATGGGAGCCACCCATGTATAGAAGAGCGCATATTCACTACTATAAAACCCCTGTGTTCCGAAATACTTTCCATATTCAATACTATAAAACCCTGTGTTCTGGTGTGGGGGACTTCGTTTAGCCGGGAGCTAACACCCGTAGCTCTGTACTGCCTACGTCATGCGACAGTCTCGTACGCTTTTTAAAGTCTGTCTGGCGTGGCGCGGTGTCCTACATGATGCCACAGTGATTAGATCAAGCGTGTTGGATTTCAATCAGGTCCTGAGTGTGTGTGTCCATTCGGCACAGTCATACCCTCTATTTCACAGTGCTCCTCAATGAAATCCAGTCGAGTCGCTCGAGTTTGCGCCTTGCGCCGCGTACCGTTTCGCAGCCCAGTGAACGCCGGTCTAGGGCTGCGCAACGCCCGGCGTGTTCTTGACTGAGGCGACTGGATTTCATTGAGGAGCACTGTATGTTGCACGCTATTGGCATGGCCAACACATGGCATGGCCAACACATGGCATGGCCAACACATGCCTGTGGGCTATCACTGGGGGCTTGTGCAGGCACACCATGATGGCATCTAGATTATGGAGTCGAGTACGGACATTGTAATTATGAGAATGGTCGTCTACTTGGTGATGTTTGAGTATCGGTGACCGTGTTGACTGTTGGTGAATCCACAACTCTCCCATCGGTTCTCTGCGGAGGAACGTGCAGGGGACACCTATTTGTTCATGCATGCTGTGAGTCTTATGACTTCCCAGTCGTGATTGGGCACTTTTGTAGCTGCATGTCAAAGACTCTCTGTATTTGGCTGTGCCTGGCTGGAAGAACAACAGCATCAGGGTGTGGGTATGCGGCCGCTATGCTTTAAGTGTGGCCAATCATTCATACATGTCACGTTCTACCATCTCACACTGCCAGATAGTACCTAGTTTGGATGCTCTTGCAGTATACTAAGCTGTTATGCTGAAAATAAGGCTGCAGACTGGAGTGGCATCAGCAGACTGACATGTCCGCTATGACAGATCATGTGACAGCATGTGCATGCCTCGCCCCTCCATGTCTGTCATGTGATTGACTACAATACTGTACCCAGCTATGCGTGTGTGTGTGTGTGTGTGTGTGTGTGTGTGTGTGTGTGTGTGTGTGTGTGTGTGTGTGTGTGTGTGTGTGTGTGTGTGTGTGTGTGTGTGTGTGTGTGTGTGTGTGTGTGTGTGTGTGTGTGTGTGTGTGTGTGTGTGTGTGTGTGTGTGTGTGTGTGTGTGTGTGTGTGTGTGTGTGTGTGTGTGTGTGTGTGTGTGTGTGTGTGTGTGTGTGTGTGTGTGTGTGTGTGTGTGTGTGTGTGTGTGTGTGTGTGTGTGTGTGTGTGTGTGTGTGTGTGTGTGTGTGTGTGTGTGTGTGTGTGTGTGTGTGTGTGTGTGTGTGTGTGTGTGTGTGTGTGTGTGTGTGTGTGTGTGTGTGTGTGTGTGTGTGTGTGTGTGTGTGTGTGTGTGTGTGTGTGTGTGTGTGTGTGTGTGTGTGTGTGTGTGTGTGTGTGTGTGTGTGTGTGTGTGTGTGTGTGTGTGTGTGTGTGTGTGTGTGTGTGTGTGTGTGTGTGTGTGTGTGTGTGTGTGTGTGTGTGTGTGTGTGTGTGTGTGTGTGTGTGTGTGTGTGTGTGTGTGTGTGTGTGTGTGTGTGTGTGTGTGTGTGTGTGTGTGTGTGTGTGTGTGTGTGTGTGTGTGTGTGTGTGTGTGTGTGTGTGTGTGTGTGTGTGTGTGTGTGTGTGTGTGTGTGTGTGTGTGTGTGTCTGTGTGTGTGTGTGTGTGTGTGTGTGTGTGTGTGTGTGTGTGTGTGTGTGTGTGTGTGTGTGTGTGAGTGTGTGTGGTATGTGTGTGTGTGTTTGTGTGTGTGCCCAAGTA